AATATAAAAATGTGATGAGAATGAAAAGGGAAGTGGGGGTCCAAAGTCTCATAACGCATAATTCCACGTCACCATTCACCGTTCCCTCGTTTTCTTCCATATCTTCTTAATTACGTTCTCTCCACACAACGACTCACCTCATCCATTTTCACCTAAATAAAATATCCATAAAATTTAAATAAATCCTACACTTTTTGTCCCTCCCATTAACATGATCAAATATTATATTTATTTTTTTAATATGGAATATCAGATTATAATTCTTTTTTTCCACAATAATGTAATATTCGAAATTGTGGGGAATGATAAATATCATTGTAACTGGTAAACAATCTTCAAGAAAGACAATTCGTCTTTCCTAAATCAAAGACAAAACACAATAGATTTATTAGAAGAAGATTACTATAAAACATATGTAACGAAATGCTTAAGTCTATATTATATACGGCAACGTTGTCAATAATATTCCATAATATTTATTCCACGTATTTGTGTGTATATATATTTATAGTATTGTTTTTATCGCTTTTCCCAATTTTAGTTCGATAGATATGAATATGATATTTCTATTTTTGAATTGGAAGTTGATGAGTTTGTTCAGTGCAAATGTCGAAAAACTTAGAGATATAACTAACTTGAGTATTAAATGTTTCCATGATTTTAGACATTAACAATACCTATATTAATAAAGATAAATAGCAAAACAAAATGATTTGGGTTACGTTATTTGAATAGTTACTAAAACCACAACCTATTTTAATCTATGTTAAAATTCCAGATCCAATATTTAAGTCCTGGCAGAAATTATATATATATATATATATATATATATGAATTGTTTCTGTTAAATTATATATATAAATTGTTGGTAATGTAGATTACAATTCCTTGGTAGTTTATAAAATAGTGATTTAATTAGATCTGATATTTCGTGGTATATATATCTAGGTTTTGAAATATAATTTAATTTATTTGTCGTAGAAAACTATATTAATCAGATAATGGATTATATATTTCTAAAATGTTAGTTTTTTCATCATTGTTAAAGAGTTTATGAACGGAGCCTTAATTTTGACTAACAAAAAGCCAACCAAAATAAAGATATATTTTCTTTTATAGAAGAGGCGAAGCTGACGCGTCTGTTGGACGTGTGGACCGGTCAGGTTACATGCAGCATGGAACACGTGCTCCTAACTCCGGCCAAGCGAATAAATCCAGATTGCATTTTCATTACAACCCCTGCAGTTTTATTGTAAATCTACATTGACCCTCAAACATTGTTTTGGTTCATGAAAACCCACCATTTGATATCCGAGATTCTTTCCATTTTTTATGAATATTTGATAACCCCGCAAATAACTGACTATTACAAATTTGAAAATATTTTTTTAATGATTTTTCTATCGATAAAATCCATAAAAATTTCAAAACTTGTAAACTGATGAAAAAGTTAATTTCTAAATTTTTCGTTCGATAAATTTATTACCAAACTAGAAAAATATATTATTATAATTCACAAACTTACAAAATATATCATTATAATTTTTGAAGAGATATATAGATCAATATCGTCGAAGTTCTTCTAACACCGACTAATAAATTTTGGAATTATAATGAAATATATTATAATTTTAGAAATTATAATTACATATTTTGTAAGTTTGAAAATAAATTTGTCAAGTGAAAATTTTAAAAATTTATTTTCTCCATTTTACCCTTTTTCTATCATGCTCACATAAAAAATGTTGGAATGCGGTATGCTGTTACATTTATATCGAAACTATTTCAATTTCATAGATAAAACCTTCAAAATATATTCCAACCATCGATAGAATCAGATATTTTGATTTCGTAAGGGAATCTACAAACATTTCTACTGATATTATACTAAAATTTGATGTCAATACACACATTATGTACCCCCAATATATATATACGTTATATATACAACCGATTTTCATTTTTTTTGTTCAAATACTAACATTTTTTTCAAGTACCGTATTTCAAACTTTGTGTTCATCTAAGAATTTGCTACTACAGTCGTTACGCTTGTAATGAATAGCTAGTGTTCAGATTTAGATATTCTACAATTTCCGTAAATATTCGAATGATCGATATTCAACCGACGCAAACATATATTACCTAACAGATAGTGGACGAGTGGTCAAACTTGGGATAGGAGATAACTCCACTTCGAGGTTGAGTGTTCAATTCCTGACTGGTATAGAGGAAAGTAATTTCTAGGTTTATATGATCCATAAACATAGCCAGCACGCTCGAAAGGTAGCAGTTAGGGGTTATCTGTTATAAAAAAAAACGGGCTCGTATTTTAGGGTTTTGTTTATATCACTTACTTTATTAAATCTATTTTTTTCTTTCAAAATATTTAAATGTTTTCGCTCGCCATTTTCACAATTTATGAAATAGATTGATTTATCGATATCAATTTTATCAAACATGAGAATCGGGCTTATATTACAATTAACCAACTCGTTTTTAATTCAAATGCACTAACCAACAACAAATTCATCTATAGTTCAGAATTTGAAATAAATATAAATTGGGAGATTTCTATTTGTAAACGAAAGGTGTCTAACAATAGTTAAATAGATCTTCTCAAATAATGTAATAACCTTTCTTCTTTATTTTTAAGAAAAATAAACCAACGTTATTAAAGTAATAATAGGATTTTCAAATAAGTATTATGACGAAATTTATAATTTTCTTTCCATTTTAAGCTATTAGTACATACAGGAAAAATCAAATGTAAATGATAACATAAATTTGATTAAATATACATGAATGTATTAAGACTTATATATATATATATATATAAGTAACAAAAGGAGAACGTTATGGCCCCTCTCCTTGTTATTTAATGTTGCAAGGAATCGTATTTTTTTAAAGAAATGGAAAAAAATAAGGGAAAAAAGACAAAAATGATACACAAAAAGACAGAAAACTCTCGGAGTCACGAGTGATCTGTCCGTGCAAATTGCGAAATGCATGAACTGTCTCCTGCCGTCCAAAATCAAATTAATTTTTTGTTATAATTTGAAAATTTATAATAATTTTGGTCCAATTATATCTTTTAAAAGATAGGTAAACTCCAAATGAATATATTTTTACGTTTAAATTTGAATTCATAATAAGAATATGTTTTGCATATTTTGTTATCATTATGCCATCCAAATTTGGATAATCAAATTAAATTTAATCTCTTACCTTATTATTTTTAGAATTCGAATCATTGGTTATAAAAAAATATGTAATTTGAATTATTTTTTTTCTGCTATTTAAAAGATTCCCCTCTAGCTGGCAGGGGAAAAAAAGATAAAGGAAGAAAAACTACATCCTCTCTCTCCCTCTCTCAACGCATAATTGAAGTTGGTCTTTAATAGAACATAAAATATGGTTGAATTGACGGATTCATCATTCTTGTATTCACTAACAAGAAAATAAATAAAAAAACAGCTTATATCGAATAATATATATTTATTGGTTTCACATTAATTTTGACCCTTTTAAATTGATGGAGTTGAAAACTATGATAAACACACAAAAAAAATTGAATTAACAAGAAGTATGTTGAATAAATTGAGAAATCGATGGTTCGATTCTTTACCCGTTCATTTGTCATCTATTAGTTACAGTTGATTTACCTTACACGTGTATGTCGCGTGTTCGTATACGTGGACAAAATTTACCCAACCATTACGTCCGAAAGATAGCAATTGGGCTTTTCTACAATACCAAAAAATATATATATATTTAACGTCATTAATGTATAATAGTAAGAAACACTATATTTTTAGTAAAATAAATATTTAGTGGTAAAAAAGAGTTCGAGATGTCCTAGACGAAAATGATGAAGAACATATATATTTTAATATTTGCATCACAAAATATATATTTTTTATGAACAAAATTTATTCTAACCCAAATTAGATAATTTATCCGGTGAGACGGATACAAATCATTTGTTCTATTTTAGTTTGAACTTCAACTTTGAGGAAAATATATATTTTTAGTTATATGGTTGATCCCTTGATATTAGTTTGGACTTTGGTGGAAAATACTAGATTATAAAAAAAAATCATTCTATACATATTTCCTGTTACATTTTTTTTTTTTGGGTTTTGGGGCAATGAGTTGGAGTCAAGACAAAATTATACCGGGCCCAAGAAAAGATGCTGAATGAGCTCCAAGGACCTGACCAATTATTTCATTATTTTTTGATGCAATATACTATTTAAATATTTATGGTACACCTTTTAAATGGTACGACTTCATTCACACGTGTACCTCATTGAGATGTGAACTCAACTAAAATACTACCCATGTTTCTTAAAGCTTGTGCTAAGATCGGTTCTGGCCACATTATAATCTATTTTTAAAATTTAATAAAAAATGTATATCTGTAATTTGAAAGAGTTAATTACTGTTATTATTACGGTTAGGTTTTTCTTAAATGTTGTGCTTTAATAATTTTAAAAGTGGTCAATAGATTGGTAAAATCATTTTAATCTTGTTTTAACATTTTTTGACCGAATTAATCATTCAAATAATAAAGAAATATGTACAGATCTGGAATTGCTGTTCATAGTCATTTTACTCTATTCTCATCCCTAATAATTTTACATGTAAAACAAGTAAATAATAGTCCACAACACATGACCCTTCTTTGACAAAAATAACATAATAATAATTATATTACAATGATTTTAGAGATGTTTTAATTCTTTAGAAATAATACATGATCGTTTGTAAATATTTACATTATCAAATTATCCAATGGCAATAAAAATATATAAATAATATTTTATTCAGTTGTTTTTTGTAGTTATGAGATTCTACTTGTTAAGATTCTCTAAAACTAAAACTAACGTCCAAGTGCACTCTCGGTAAATTAGATCCTGACTGACCAATCTTAGCGCGTGGAGTGGAACCTCGAATAACGACCGCACGATCTCACTCGGTTAGATTCAACGTCTGACGGGTTAACTCGTCACTCGAGCATTCATCGAAGCTTCTTCGTCCCACTTCCGTACAATATCCGCCCTGAAAGAGAGACGCGTGTCCATTCCACACATTTAATTACACATTTGCCTCTACCTTTCGATCCACTTAAAATCCCAGAAGCCAATCCATTTCTCGCATCGACCTTTCTCTCTCTCTGTGAACGGTGCATGGAATGGCGGAAAACAGAATTCCGGCGACGATGAATCTGTGGACCACCGACGATAACGCCTCCATGATGGAAGCTTTCATGAGCTCCTCCGACTTCTCCGCCCTCTGGCCTCCGGCGGTTCA